CTGCTGAAGACGCTTGGCACCTGTTTTGAGTGTTTGTGGCCAGGCTAGCAACAGGTCTGGAAACCGTGTCATACAAGGACTAACCAAGCAGGTTAATCTGGACATTAGAGAAGCGCGTGTGTGCAGGGGAAGTGGCGGGCGGGGCATTTCTGCTGGGTAAGAGAAGATTTAGGGACAGGGTTGAAATGCTGTGGCATAGAAGTATTAGACTTGCTTTATGGGGCAACGGTGAGTGAAAATTATAGGAAGAGAGATGTTGGCTCAGACAAGGTAGCAGCTTTTGAAAGTCCGAACTGTCATGGACCTAAATGAAATAATCTCGTGAAGCAGGCAGAGTGATGATATTATCATCCTTAACAAAGAGATAAGGAAAAAGCCCAGCAAGCAAAAAATAGCTTGTCTGTAATCACCCAAGAGGCGCATGAGACTGTGGGTTCCCCAGTGCTGTGCTCACTGCCCCAGGCTGCTTCTGACCCCAGCGCTAAGCTTAAAGAGATGCCGCAAACAGGTGCAAACAGCCAGCAGTAAGGAAGTCACAGGAAAGCTACCAATGTCAAAGTTTGACAAACAACTCTGAAGGTCCTGTAGAGAGAAGGATCAGCCAGAAGCAGCGATTTTCCAGAGGAAAATAATGACTTCTGACAAGAAACAGGGATCTCCGACAGAAGACCAGGGATTTTTGACAGGAGAGCAATGGTTTATGACAGGAAAACAGAGATTTCTGGCAGAAAATGTTGACTTCTGACAGGTTATGAGTGGATTTCTGACAAGAGAAGGAGAATTTCTGAAGGCAGTGGTGATTTTTCTCAAGACAGATTTTTAAAAGAAGAGTGGTCATTTCTGACACAACAGTGATTTCTGACAGGAGAACAATAATCGCTGATACGAGAGCATGGATTTTTAGCAGAACTTTAGTGCCCATTACATAGGAGAGTAGTAACTTCTGACAGGAGGTCTTTGACAGGAATAAGGGTTTCTATTTGGAAGGACAAAAAGCAGCAGCACAGAAGAAACTAGAAAACAAAGAGGAGAATCAGGTTCCCTCTGGAAACAGGTGTCAGTCCTGGGTGTGGAGGGAGGTTATCAGTTATAAGAACAAGGTGGATGATGGGAGGCTCAGTTGGGCAAGAGCCTCATTCCGCAGAAGGGGTTGAGTGGGTTGGAGGGAGAGTATCTAGATTTATATCACAGATGTGAGCATAAGTGACAAGGAAATGCATTCCCATCAAGAAACTTGGAGGAAGTAGAAGAGAGGAAAATCTGGTATTTCTTCAACTCCCCAAATTCAGAAATAATAAAGCCCTGGTTTTGATTCAGGAAATTCTAATGAAAGGTTTTGCCATATTTTTGGCAAGAGGGGCAGAATAGGAAAGACATGATCTCTCTAAAGCTGTCGCCCTGAAGTAATCCAGGAACCAGACCTTAGCACGCGTGGAGAGAAATCAGCATTGTGGTAGAGAGGAAAATGAATCAAGGGAGGAGGAGGTATCAATAGAACTTCTGATAGAAGCGGTAGGCTGGCAAAACTCTGAATAGAAGGAAAACTGATTTCCTTTGTCCCCAGCCTAGGTCATTTGCAGGGTCCTTTTCCTGCAAGCGGTTAGGTTTACTGTGAACAAAGCCCAGCAGCGCAAAACTGAAGCAGGATATGCCTCAGAGGGAAGGAACGCTTTTTCTCTCAGACTGAGCTCTCATTGACCTCAGCTCCAGGCACCACGTCTACCATGTGACTGAATTCCTGTGGGCACTGAGCGCTAGGAGAATTCTAATTGTGCAGATCCCCAGAACAGCTGCAGCATCCCCAGCCAGGAGCTCCAGACTTGTACTTTCCACCGGATGTGGGGCTCAGCACAGCTCTTCACACTCAGCACTGCAGGCCCATGGCCGAGACTAGCGCACACGGCTTCTCGAAGTTAACTGGCTCCCCCCACGGACCCTCTGGAGGTCCCTACCACTTTATTCCTACAGCCCCAGGGAGCATGGTCTTTTCTTTCCAGCTGCCACCACCTCTCCTTCCTCTTGGGGTTCCTTTCGACCCCGGACTAGATTCAGAGGAGGGCACAGAATTCTCCAGTTTCTCCCCAACCCCTACCACGCCCCTGACCACGCCCCTGACTGGCCCTCAAGCTATATGATTGCTGCAAATGCCAACTGGGAAATAGTCAAGGTAGTAAGGAATAAAATTATAGATGAGAAGGCAGACGCGATTTTTTTAATCTCAAAAAAATTGCATTTCTGAAGAGAATGGTGATTTTTCTCAGGAGACACTATGTGGCTTGTCCTTTCTCATTTTGATAGTCACTGTAGCAGACCTCCCCAGACAAAGCTGGTGAAATCTCTCCTGTCCTCAGCAGTGATTCTAATTCTTTCATTGCTTGGGCCACTGCTCATCCACAACTTTTCAGGGACAGCATCAGCGTGAACCAGGAGGGGAACCATTCCAAGCCTCCAGATCAGTCCCTCTTGTGAAGGCTCACAAGTCTTCCTGGCCGGCTGACTCTGGGCAAGTTGCTTAACTTCAGTTGCCTCAACTGTAACATGGGGATAAAAATGCCTACTTCACGTGATTGTCGAGGTGATTAAATGAGATTAATAAAGTATTAAAGCATCTGGTACCCAGTAGGCTTAATCAGTTAGATCCCCTTACTTCTCATTGAGAGAAAGCAGTACCATTGAAGGAAGGGCTGCAGCAGAAAAGGATGTGCAGTTTGTGCCCTTCCAAAGGCACCCAGCAGAGCAGCTGGGTGGAGACTGGAATGCCATGGGTGCTTCACTTGCAGTGTCAGGTGCTCCGGATGGGGCTTTTCTGCACAAAGGCTGTGCCTCTCCTGCATCACCCTAAGAGCAAGCAGCAGCTACTGGGTGTCTGCGTCAGCACCCAGCCCATCCTGCTGGGAAAAAAAAGGAATGGCACTTCAAAGTCAAGCATTTATATCACCTTCTTCCCCACAGTAAGACCCAGATCCCCCTCCTCTCCGCGTCTTTGGAAGCCTTGGCGTGGTAGAGAGGAGCTGCTATTACAATGAATTCCCCTTTTCTCATCAGAGGGGTCTCCTTGAGTGGGAGCCAGTTTGCCTGCTTTTGGGGTCCGGCAACCACTCCTCTGTTTAGCTGGCCCCCAAAGAGGCTCTCTTAAATATCCCTTTCTGTCTTCATTTCTGTCTCGTATAGTTGGTAAGACACAGAGTAACATCTGCAAGAGTTAATCTATGTGTTTCCCCTTCACTCTACAATCTCACTGGTTGGTACCCAGGGCACCCCAGTCCACACTGACCAGAAACACATATCCACAGAAACTGCAAAGGGCTTAGACACACAAGCTCAGAGTGGGCTCGCAGAATCAGATTTTCCTCTCCCAAAGACTAGAAAAAACTGGGCTTGGGGAAGCAGGCAGAGGCAGCTGGACCCGGACAAGAGGAGTGAAAGCACCTTAGTCCTTGAAGTGAGGGGGAGCGGGTCCAGTAAGAAGGGAGCAGATGGGAGGGCACTGTGTGTGAGGCTCAGTGTGGACCCCCAAAGGCCTGGAAGAGCGAATGGTGGCTTTGGGAACCAGGAGCAGGGATGAGGCCAAGAGGGAAAACCTCACTCTTGAACAGAACCAGGAGTGGAAATTTCCCTGGAAATAAGAGCACTGATGAACTCTACACTGCTGAGGGGTTTGACTGTGCTGGGAATGTTCTTTTCAAATGAAGGAATTTTCAGTGGAAGAATTAGTTACAAAAAGCGGTGACCATTTTAGCAAAAATCCTCAATTTATCAACACAAAAACTAATTGAATTTCTCAGGTAACTAGAAAATCTTTTTGTACTAATTTTAGGAAAAAGGTAAATAATAATCAAAAACAAATTGAGGCTTAACTTTTTTAAAACAACGAAACATCAAGAGCTTCCAGGGACCGTCCCCCTCCCCCGCCCACCGCCCCGGCCAGAGCAACCCATCCTATTACATTTTTACAGTAGGAACAGTTCGCGTTCAGAAGGATGACCCTTGAATCACTAGGTCATCAAAGGAAAGTTTTGGTTTACTCAGCTGCCAGAATCCCTATTTCCTTTACATTATAGTGAAGTGGAGCCTGACTGTATTTCTAAATTAACTACAAGCTCCTTGAAATTGATTTTTCAAGAGTTCTAGCATCTCTTTGAAAAAGTCGACACTATATAAATTGAATGTCTTGTGCATTCAAGAAGGAATTAGTCTTTGAGAACCTCATATGGTTGCATTCTGCAGACATTTGGCTCGAACGATTCATGCTACTGGTTCTCAATTGGGGAAAGGAGGATATTTCCCCAGAGAATATCTGACAATAGATGCAGACATCTTTAGTTGTCATAACCGGGGGGTGATGGCGGGAGCTGGTACTAACGACATCTAGAAGGGAGAAGCCAACACTATAATGCACAAAACAGCCCTCAGTGGCAAAGTATCAGACCCAAAATGTCAATACTGAGGATGAGAAATCACAGCTCCTGGTGGTAGAAGAAGAAGATATTCTCTTAGTGAAGGACACTAGGGTGGCTGCCCCAAGCTACTCACAGGCCTCAGGGACAAGATCTGAGGCCTGCCCTGTCAGCCATCACTTGGGGATGGTCTTGCGTTGCCCAGGCTCTTAGGATGGTTGTATAATCTAAAGCCAGGACATCTATCTGCAATGAAATACAACGAGCAGGATGTTTGGCTGCTCTCTGCTGACAACAAGGATACTCAGTTTAGCCTAGAGTGGAACATAAAAGGTTAGTTGTTCCATGAGGACTAGAGACTGAGTCCGTTGGTCAGTTCACATCTTCCTTGAGCAGGACTGGGCGGGCGCTGCCAGTGCTCACCTGGTAGGGCTACCTCTTCTGGCTTCCACTGGCAACCAAGCGTTCTCGTGACCAGTACTTTGTTTCTTTGGATGTGTTGATGACATCAGCAGAGTCTGACTTCAACCTGGGGCCAGAGTACACTTAAGATGATTGCATTACTTGGCTGTGACCTATTTATTATGTTTATGTTTTACAGTTTAATGAAGGATCTCCTTGATCTAAGAGAGAACTATTTTAGTTTTACAGTTTAATGAAGGAATTATTTTGTTTATGTTTTGTTTATGTTTATGTTTTACAGTTTAATGAAGGATCTCCTTGATCTAAGAGAGAACTATTTTGAGAAGCCAGCTAATCTGTGAGTGGCTGGAGGTTAAATAACTAACATAGTTTGCTCTAGTCTAGTACCAATATTTGTCAAAAGTATTCCTATGATATAGCAATTAATAAAATATGTACAATTTAAAAAATGATCATAATTCATAATAGCTTTGTCAATAGGCATTTTCTCAATCATTGAATACTTAAAGTATAAATATTATCATGTGGTGTGAGTCTAGAAATATTTTGATGATAGAAAGAAGGACTTATACTGACAAAAAGTTGGAAGCTATGGTTTGACTCTCAGAAGGTTAATTTTCCATATTTCTTAGTTCTTGAGCAGGGAGACATAGAACCCCAGCTTGCCCTTTAACCTTCCACTCCCCTCCCCGGCCCCATGGAATCTGCTTGCTTGCTCTGTCTCTAGGAACAGACTGTGGGGAACAGTCTTAACTCACTGAATTTGCGTACTTTACAATTTCTAAAACATTTTCACATCCATTATCTCATTGGTTCTTCCAACCACAGTGAAGAAGGTAGAACATGGACAATCACTTCTACTTTATGAAGAAGGGCAGGGTGTGAGGACCTGATTCATCTCAGGATCTACAGTCCCAGAGCTGAGGCCTAGGCCCTATCTGCCCTCTGACTTGGAGCCCACAGCTCTTTCTACTCTCCCTGCATTGGTAGCTGACCCTTCTGGAAGTCTCTGACCCACCAAATATCAAATTCACTCCATAGTAACTAGTGGAGAAAGAGATCCAACAAGCATTTAAGAACTTTGACAAACTAGTCATTTCACATACTTTTGAGTTCTAATTAGTTTATGAGAATTGCACAAAGGTGCACAAAAGTAAAGAAAACAGAAAGTAGTGAAGAAAACCATGTTCGATTGCCATGGATATCCATGCTTACCTTAGGGTTCATATTTGGTACAACTTCCTGAAATTCCCCTTGAGGGTTCCAGGTGATCTTGGGGATCTCTGAAACTCACCTTATGAATCTGAAAAGTAAAAAAAAAAAAAAAAAAAATCTGAACCAGATTAGATATTTCTGTGTAATTTTATCTTTGACGTTCTATTAGTCTAAATCTATGAGTTCTGTCAACATCATCAAAGAACTCTCTAGGAGAAATAACTGTTTTGTTACTTTTGTTCAAGAGACATCCATCTATTCATTTATCCATTCATGTAGTTATTCGGCAAACATCGATCAAATGTAAGGCACTGTACTAGGCTTTGTACAGAGTACAGACTTGAAAACAGAAAAAATCCATTGAATACAAACTCATGCAACTAACCTCTATGAGAAAATCAAGAACAGATACAAAAAGTCATTATAATTGGCTTACAATTGATGCTTTAAACCACTTTTGAGGAAAAGTTAAGAGCTCTTCTATTGGAATGTGAAATATGCAGACCAAGAAACTTTCCTGCAAGTGACTCAAAAATTCTCTGAATTCTTTACAGGCACTCAAATGGCTAGTGTTCAGAGAAAACTAGTAATGGAACTCTTTACCTTCAGTTCTTTGTGATGAAAATCTAAAATCATAAAAACTTCAAAGCAGTTTCCAGTGTAACTATCTCAAGGGCAAGAAAAAATTTGTTAGATTTAATCTAGAGTCTGATATTGACTGCTATCCACTAAGGGACTTTTTGTCATTAAAAAAAAAAAAATTGTTTTACACAGTGAAATTCCATTATTCATACAATATCTTTCTAGTTGATCAAAAAGTAACTACGTTTTATTTATAAGGGGGAAATGGGATTGATTTGGCAAATGGAAACCATGGAGATATATCTAGATGGATATTTTCACTTTCACTGTTACATGGAAGATGACAAAATTAGGCAGGAAATTATAAAAGTCTATGTCACAAAGGAGGAAATTATTTGTGTGGTATCCGTGTAGAGAGGATACACTGAGTACACTGAGGAGGTGCTACAGACAGATAAAGTGAGAAGCTCAGTGAGCCTTTTTGTTTGTTTCTGAGCATCACTGCCCATGCCAACACCCGGTGCCATTCTCTGGCAGAGGCACTACAATGGATAAGATGCTGTCCCTGCTTTCAAGATGCTTTTAGTCCATTCGGGGGAGACTCAGCCAAATAACTGCAGAGTTCTAGCCCAGTGTGATCAGGACTTTCATGGGGCCAGTCCTGGGCCTGCGGCTGTATGTAGCAGGGCTCTCACACCCAGGCTAGGGATTGTGGGTGCTGCCTGCACAGGAGTTTTTCTAACGTGCTTTCCAGGACTGCCATTTTACATGTGGCTCTGAAGAGAAAAATAAGCAAAGAATCACAAGATGTGATACGAAATCCTTCAGAAGGAAAAAACAGGACATGAAAATACTGTCAAATCCTCTAAAATCTTTATTCAATTACACTTGGAAAGAGGAGACAGGCAGACTCGGAGACTGGGGTTGATAACACCTTCCTCCCAGGTTCGCTCAGGTTGTTAAGGAATCTCCAGGGACGTCCACTTTTCCCATTAGCAGTGAATTGGGCCAGAGGACGCACTACAGCTGCGCTAATATTTGCTCTATTGGATTACAAACCGAGTAATTGCCATTTAAGTTTCAAGTAACGGTGAGGGCATTCATCTGTGTTTTCGTTCATTTGTATGGCAATTAATTTGTACCTAAATTAACAATAAAAATGGTTACATGATCTAATAAAGTAGTAATAAAGATAAAAAATAACCTCCTCTGTTTTACCCTACAAGCAAGGCCAAATTGCTCTTTCCCCTCCCATTGTTTGTCTCTCTGGAGAAGATTATTTTCAGGCAGGCAGAGTGGGAACAAGGCGTTCAGGCCAATGCCTGTCAGGGGTCCCATGTCAAAGGCCATGGACAGGAAAATGGGGTTTGTGTGATGCAAAGCATTGTTGACTTGAAATGGTACAGGGAGGTCACTACTGCAGCATGCTCCCACGTAAGGCCAGGAAACAGGCCCTCTGGAATTGTTCTAGGTGAAGACAGACACAAACTAACTCAGCATTAATTTAGCACGGAATTTGCAAACTGGAGCTCTTGGGCAGCCAATGGCTAGCAGACACATTTTATTTAGCATGAAAGGGCTTTTGAGCCTTTTGATTTGTTTCTAATGTGTAAAAATTAGGATATTTCACATGAATATTCAGATTTCCAATCCTCTTGAGAAGTTGGAAAATTGTACTACATCTACACTTTTGCCTGGCAACATTTATCTGGAGCAGTGGTCACTCTCCCCTACAGTCAGGCAGCGCTTGCCAAATTACTATAGTCCCCACTACTCCCTATTGTCCCGTATTATGCCTGCCTCTCTAGTTATTAACTTGCCTGGCTCCTGTAGGATGTGAGTGTGACTCCTGTTTTAGTATTTGCCTGGTCATTTACAGAAGTAAACTGCTTTCATTGGTCTTTATCTCAGCTGCACTTTTTAACTTCCTGGAGCATTTTGTTTTTTCAGTTCGAATGTCTTGGACATGGAGGGTGCCCCCTGACCAAAGGTTCTTTGGTTTTGGCATTGAACTTCTTGCCATAGAACCATAGACCAATCCAAAGGGAAGTAATTTTGGAAAGCAGCTTATCTCCCTGCCTTATTTAGGAACTGAGGCTCAGAGAGGCCCATGGTACTCGTTCAAGGTCACACAGAAACTTAATACAGAGCCAAGACTAGAACCAGTTCCAGTACTTTTCCTGCTATATTTCAACCCCTTCTGGGTGCTCATTTATGATACTGCATGTCCCAAAGCAAGAATATAAACTCCTAAGTCATTGTGCAGTATTCTCACCTTGGAAAATTTGAACAGTGTAGGCCTGTTGGGCATGGCTATTTCTAAGATGGCCCTTGGTGATGTGATGCAGTGTTCAAACCTTAGTTTATGATTCAGTCTGTTGACTTCTGAGAGTCCTGATCTGGGAGTGAGGCCAACTGGAATCAAGTCCCAGCTCTCCCTCTTCCAGCTGTGTGACCTTGGGAAAATATCCTCACCTCTCTGAATCACAATTTCCCAAGTATAAGACAGGAACACCTGCCCCACAGGATGTTGTGATAATCATGGGAATAACACACACAAAAGTTCTCAGAAATATGTAAAAATTTAGATAAATGCAAGTTACTATTACAGGTTATTGAGCTTTAATATCAGAGAATCTTAGAATTCCCTCATTTTACAGGTGAGACAATAGATGCTCAGAGAACAGGGTCATCCCGCCAGCTATGAGCATTGCTCATATTAGCAAGCAGGTCTCATGTCCTCCCTGCCACTGCCACAGCCGGACTCAGGGATCTCAGTTAAAGCCATGTAGGTCCAAACACTTGGGTAGCAGAGGAAGTATTAGCCGGCCATGGGATGAAATGGAAATGCTTTAACCTCCTCTCACTGTTTGTGGAAGCAGATTTCCAACCTTAGAAACAGAATCATTAAGGGGCTCTCATTCTAAGGGCAGAGGCAGAGAGATAGGAAGATGTTGGAACTCTCCCTCCTTAGCATCCTTAGTCTGGGACTCTGGGTAGCACCGACTCACAGAGTAGGAGGCTCTGTGACCCTCGTGTAAAGAGCCCCGCACTTGCTGACGACTGAGTCCCTGTCCATGAACATGGACTTGGGGGGCATTATACTGTGCAAATGAACACTGTTTTTGCAAATTTATGAGACCTGCCAGCTCTCTGCAGTGACATCCAGGCATGTTCTGCATTAAATTAAAGCTGGAAATTTCAGAGGGAAACGGCTCTGAAATGGCATGAAAGACAAAAATCTGTTTCTTAAAAAATGACACCATATGTGCCTGCATTGCTGCAGTTAGGGTAAAAGGCTTTTCCTCCCTTTTTTTTCTCATCAAGCTGCCAATGTTAATGTCAGATTTGCAACAGAACCATATACTAATGGAACCCAAATTAGCTCTAAAATTAGCTCTTAACAAGAAACTGGAGGCTAGCTCAAGGCAAGCAGATTTCTCTGACTGTGAGAGACGGGAAGCATTTTAGCAAAGCAGCTGCATATTGATATTCTTGAGCCTCAAAAAAGATCACTCTTTGCTCTGAGCGAATTGCCCAGGAAGAATTGTGTGCAGCCGTATATCTGCCTGTGTGTTAGGAACTAGCAGCTCAACTTGCGATTTTAAAGAAAACCTTCCCCAAAACAAAGAAGCTATTGAGAGTCTGGAGTGTGGGTGAGGAGAGGGATTCAGGGGGTCAGCTCTGGGTTGGGGACTGGATCCTGGGAGAGGCAGAGTTCTGGATTTTAGAGCATTTTCCGTTATCACTGTTTATGTAACACCTTTAGAGAACCCAGAGACTACAGAAAATCCAGTAATGGAAAACACTCATATGGATGAACAATATTTAGCAGCTGAAATTGACAATTGTGAGTTTCCACCATACTGAAAAATTATGTACTGAAAAATTTTCTACAGAGCAACCTATCAGTAGTAACATTTCTGAAATAGTAATAGAGTAGTAAACTTCACTGACGGGCCCCAGCCCAGCCAAGCTTTTGCTGCCCCTGGCTCCTCAATGGCCCCAGGTTGGAATTTGAAGGTCAATGGGTCTACAGTTTGAAGGTCATTTTGATTTGGGAGTACACGCCAAGTTCGTGGACTAGGATTGGGGACAGAAGGAGGGTACAGGAGGTAGGATGGGTAGTTAGAACTACTGAAACCTACACAAGGAAAAAAACAAAAGAACTGAAAAACTAAAGTAAAGATGCAGCTGGGGAGTAGCAGGAAGATGGCGTTAGTTTAGCCGCGGGGGTGATTTAAATTAGGCACCTTCCATCAGGAAAATTGGACCCAATTCTGTCAACGAGGCTGCTATGTTCCCATGAACTCCCAGAAGCAACGAACTCCCATTTGGCCAAGGAATAACTCTGAACCTGGCATTTGGGTCATGTGAATTCAATTTAGCTTCACACTTAAACATGCATCTAGCACTGTTGGTTGAACATTGGGATGGGTGGACTAAATCCTCCTCTCAGCCTCACAGAGCTCACTAAATGTTCCAATGTGGACTAAATCCTCCTCTCAGCCTCACAGAGCTCAATCTATTGGGATAAGATGGGTACATAGATAGCCAAAATATAAGTGAGAGGAGGTGAGAGCTCTGAGGAAGGGCCCAAGCTTGGAGCTACAAATGAAAGAGCAATTAGTTCTGTGTTGAATCTAGGGGGTAGGGGGGAGTCTGCACAAAAGTGACATCTGAACTGAGCTTGAAAGAATGGGGAGAAAAATTAGTTACAGGACTTTTAGATCATCAGAGGCCAAAACTCTAAGCCTATTTGTGAAGAAAAAAGATGATGTCATAGAAAAAGCTTTGACTTGGGTTTTAATCCTAACTCGGTGTTAAAAATTGCTGTGTAACTTCAACTAATTCATTCAACTTTTCTTCATTTAACTACGCTGGCAATTAAATAAGA